TATTAAAAAATAAAAACCCCAGTGGTGATTAAATACCACCAAAATAAAGCTCTATGTGTCCCCAAAAAAGGGTATAAAATTCATTTCAGTACAGCGCTGCATGACGGAATAAATGTCAGTCAAAGTACCGCAGCGCTTAATACTGAAAAATGGCCTGGATGGGAAGGTGGTTTAACACCCCGGATGTCAACTGGTTAATGTTCTATTTTTCCGATAACCAAATACAATCTTAATATATTTTCTTAATGAACACTTTTTGCCAAAAGTATTGGGACACCTTCCTTTACACGCATATGAACTTTAATGGCATCCCAGTCTTAGTCCGAAGGGTCCAATATTGAGTTGGCCCACCCTTTGCAGCTATAACAGCTTCAACTCTTCTGGGAAGGTGTCCACCAGGCTTAGGAGTGTGTATGGGAATGTTTAACCATTCTTCCAGAAGCGCATTTGTGAGGTCAGGTACTGATGGTGGATGAGAAGGCCTGGCTCAAGGCTCCATTCTAATTCATCCCAAAGGTGTTCTATCAGGTTGAGGTCAGGACTCTGTGCAGGCCAGTCAAGTTCCTCCACCCCAAACTCCCTCATCCATGTCTTTATGAACCTTGCTTTGTGCACTGGTGCGCAGTCATGTTGGAACAGGAAGGGGCCATCCCCAAACTCTTCCCACAAAGTTGGGAGCATGAAATTGTCCGAAATGCCTTGGTATGCTGATGCCTTAAGAGTTTCCTTCACTGGAACTAAGGGGCCAAGCCCAACCCCTGAAAAACAACCCCACACCATAATCCCCTCTCCACCAAACTTTACACTTGGCACAATGCAGTCAGGCAAGTACCATTCTCCTGGCAACTGCCAAACCCAGACACGTCCATCAGATTGCCAGAGAATCATGATTCGTCGATTCGTCACTCCAGAGAACACGTCTCCACTTCTCTAGAGTCCAGTGGTGGCGTGCTTTACACCACTGCATCCGGCGCTTTGCATTGCACTTGGTGATGTAAGGCCTGGATGCAGCTGCTCGGCCATGGAAACCCATTCCATGAAGCTCTCTACGCACTGTTGTTGTGCCAATCTGAAGGCCACACGTAGTTTGGAGATCTGTAGCTATTGACTCTGCAGACAGCTGGCGACTTCTGTGCACTTCAGCATGCGCTGACCCCGCTCTGCCATTTTATGTGGCCTACCACTTTGTGGCTGAGTTGCTGTTGTTCCCAGTTGCTTCCACTTTGTTATAATACCACTGACAGTTAAACGTGGAATATTTAGTAACAAGGGAATTTCACGGATGGACTTATTGCACAGGTGGCAACCTATCACGGTACCACGTTTGAATTCACTGAGCTCCAGAGAGCGATTCATTCTTTCACAAATGTTTGTATGCATGCCTAGGTGATCGATGTTATACACCTCTGGCCATGGAGGTAATTGGAACACCTGAATCCAATGATTTGGAGGGGTGTCCCAATACTTTTGGCAATATAGTGTATGTCAAAAACGATAACAATTCTGACAAGAAAATTAATTAAAAGCATTAGTCCTTGTACGGCTGCTTTGATAAATATAGCATTACCCACCCTTCCTTTCTGCTTTTGGATGGAATAATTTGTACACTAGCATAGGGAAGCACAGAGCATACATAAGGGAGACAAGGTAAGCTGTATTTACCAGTCCTCAAAATGACCCTCATATAACCTTCAAGTTTCATATATTAACAACAAAAAAATCAGTTTAGTTTACTTAGCAAAATGGTTCTGTCTGCCCCAAAATATTGGCTTACTGTCATTTCATAGAAGATCAGTTATTCCATTTGGCATTATAAAGCAGTTCATAAACATCGCTGATAACTAATATATATGTACTTGTCACTTTTATCTTAACAGGGGTCAAAATATGTGTGGAATAAACAAGACTTTGATGCTGTGGATGAAACTACAACAGATTATCTCATAGGTAGGGTATCGGTTATGTAAAAAAGGTTCTTTTTCACAGTATAGATTATGTTGTAGATTTGAGGGATTCATTTTCTCACCAGAAAGTCACATTTCATCTAATTTCCCTTTAATTAGTACTGATGAAAATACAGTTTGCATATAAAGAATTCCATGTGGTTGTCTTTAAAATTAAAATCACAATTGGCAGTATCTGAGCATTGAAGCACTCCTGTATGGGTCAATGGCACCACATATCAAACTGCATATTGAATGTGAAGCCTGGGAAGCCACAGCTACGCTCCCTCACAGCTTCCCAGTCACTTAGGACTGCAGCTGTTATGTGAGCAATTGAGGTGCTAAGTGCTGCTACCCTTAGGCCTGGTTCACACCTGGACGTTTTACAGCGCGTTTCTGTGCTCTGTAAAACGTTCAACATGTGAAAACCAATGATTGCCTATTGGCATGGCTCCCACCAGGGCGTTTTACAGCATGTAGGAACGCGCTGCAAAATGCCCTACGCCAAAAGAAGTACAGGAGCTTCTTTGGGGGCGTATTTGCCGCGTGTATCCATTGGGATACAGTAACAATCCGTGTACCCATTGCACTCCTTACCACTTAATCCGTAATGATAGGTTGGGTGCATCAGTAGTCGACAGATGGCCACCGTCCGAATAAAGTATAGGAAATTATGGACACCGGCACTCCAAAGTAGAATAACGTCTTTTATTGACGTTCCATGCAACAATACACTTATTGCCAACGTAGCAATAAGTGTATTGTTGCATGGAACGTCAATAAAAAACGTTATTCTACTTTGGAGTGCCGGTGTCCATAATTTCCTATCCATTGGGATACAGCCAGGTAGCCCTCGGAAACGTGCGTTTGCCGCACGTTTTTTACCACGAATCGCGGTAAAAACGCGCGACAAACGTGCATACTCGATATGCCTAGGTGTGAACCCAGCCTTAGGGTTGCCACATTTTCTTCAAGAGAAACCCGAACACTTTTTTTTTGTGGAAAATCTCCCACAGTAGATTTTTTCAGTGTCTGAGGGCCTGTTCACACGACGTCCGTTTTGTGTGCTGACCGGCTCCGTACGCTGCTGCACTCAAAATGCATCCCAATGTATCCCTATGTGTTTTATGGGCTCCAGTTCTCACGTGCACAGTCCGTTCAGCTTACGACAGCAAAAATACTGCATGTCACATTTTGTCAGGTCCGGAAACAGCCCCACTCCAGCAAAAAAATTTTTTTTTGTTTTTGCTGGAACGCATCAAAAACGTGGCCAAAACGCGGCCAATACACGGCCAAAAACGCAATGCATCAGCAGCTCCACGTCTGCTGATCAGGACCTGATCAGGACCTGATCTATGTGAACAGGCCCTGAGGGTAAAATGGCCCATGTAACCCTACAACATAAATTATGGATTATTCTGCACAGTAATCCCTAGTTCTCTGCATATACAGTGCATTCCAAAAGTATTTTTTCAATATTGTTATGTTGCAGCCTGATTGTTTAAATTACACTACACTCAGTACCCCATAATGACAAAGTAGAAACAGAATTTGAGAAATGTCTGTGAATTTATTAAAAAGAAAAAACTGAAATATCACATGTAGTTAAGTATTCAGACCGTTTACTAAGTACTTTGTTGAAGCACCTTTGGCAGCAATTACAGCCTTGAGTCTTTTTGGGTATGACGCAACAAGCTTTGTACACCTAAATTGGGGGATTTTCTGCCATTCTTCTTTGCACGTCCTCTCAAGCTTAGTCAGGTTGGATGGGGACTACTATTTTCAGGTCTCTCCAGAGATGTTTAATACGGTTCAAGTTAGGGCTCTGGCTGGGCCACTCTAGGACATTCACAGAGTTGTCCCTAAACCACTCCTGTGTTGTCTTGGCTGTGTACGTAGGTTTGTCGTCATGTTGGAAGGTGAACCTTTGGCCAAGTCTGAGGTCCTGAGCACTGTGGAACACGTTTTCATTGACGATATCTCTGTACTTTGCTTCATTCAGCTTTCCCTCAACCCTGACCAGTCTCCCAGTGCCTGCTGCTGCTGAAAAACACCCCCACAATATGATGCTGCTTCCACCACCCTGCTTCACTGTAGGGATGGTATGGGCAGGTGATGAGCGGTGCCTGGTTTCCTCCAGACATAACGTTTAGAATTTAGGCCAAACAGTTCAATCTTGGTTTCATCAGACCAAAGAATCCTGTTCCTCACAGTATCAGAGTCCTTCAGGTGCTTTTTTTGCAAACTCAAGGGGACTTTCATGTGCTTTGCAATGAGGAGAGGCTTCTGTCTAGCCACTTTGCCATAAAGGCCAGATCGGTGTAGGGCTGCAGTGATGGTTGTCCTTCTGGAACTTTGTCCCATCTCCACCATCGGATTCTTAGTCACCTCTCTTACTAAGGCCCTTCTCCCCCGATTGCTCAGTTTGAGAATTATGGAGGCCACTGTGCTCTTAGCAACCTTCAGTGAATCAGTACTTTTTTGTAGCCTTCCCCAGATCTGTGCCTTGCAATAATACTGTCTGAGCTCTGCAGGCAGTTCCTTTAACCTCATGGCTTTTGCTCTGATACAGTATGTATTGCCCGCTGTGAGGACTTCTACAGATAGGTGTGTGCCTTTCCAAGTCATGTCCAATCTAATTTACCACAGGTGGACTCCAATCAACATGTCAAAACATCTCAGCAACGATCAAGAGAAATGGGAGGGACATGAGCAAAATTTCAAGTGTTGTTGCAAAGGGTCTGAATACTTAGGCCAATGTGATTTTTCAGTTTTTCCTTTTTAATAAATACACAGACATTTCTAAAATTCTGTTTTCACTTAGTCATTATGAGGTACTGAATTTAGATTAATGGGAAAAAAAAGAATTTATACAACTGTAGTATCAGCCTGCAACATAACAAAATTGAAAAAAAATGAAGGGGGTCTGAATACTTTCTAAATACACTGTATACAGTTATAAAAACATAATAACCATTTATTGATATATTAAAGGAGTTCTAAAGTCCCAGCATATACTATCCTGTTATAATATCAGCAATGTAATCGGAATACATATTAGAATTGTTTTTCATAATGCAATCAAAGCGTATTTGAAAAAAAACCTTTTTATGTAGTGAGTGCTGCCTCCTGTCTGCCCATCACTTTCATCAACTTCCTGAATTCCCAGTGTGCTGCTTGTTGTAATGCAATCTTAATTTCTCAAGCTGTCATATCCCATCATGCATTGCTTCCAGCAAGCAATGACAATGTTACAATGCTCAGATGTTGAGTTGTAGCTCAGATGGCAGGTTTATTTACAGTGGTGACACAAGAAGTGCATATTTACAGAGCTGAGTGAAATTATGTCAGTGAATTGAGGAAGTACATTCTATGGGCATCTTCAATAAGTTTACAAACTTGTAGATCGATATGGTTATTAGGAGTGGGATAGAACTTATGTAAATTCAGTATATAAATAAATATTTTTTTTTTTTGACTCTTTAATGAATACAGAACTGCATTAATATGTGTATTGTATATTTCCCTGGAGTTCATCTTTAACCCAGAACTCCTAAGCAATATTTCTCTATAAAACTCACAGAGAAAGTATTGAATCCAATGGATAAGCATTGCAGCCAGACAATTAACATTTTTCAAAAGAAGGTCAGCAATGGCAGGCTCCATATTTATCTTGGGAAAGGTTTGCATAATAACTTGAACTTTGGAAGTCAGGAATTTTATGTAAGGACAGTAGATGTTTGTGTTTGAGAAGTTTCTTTCAGTCATGTAGAATCTTAAATACACTAAACATGTTTTGTTTAATTTAGGGCTGTTTGAACCAAAAGACTTGAAATATGAACTAAATCGCAATCCTTCCACTGACCCATCCCTAGAGGAGATGACTGAGAAGGCCATTAAGATCCTAAGCAAGAATCCCAATGGATTTTTCCTTTTTGTGGAAGATAAGTATAAATAGGATGGTATAAATTCTAGCACAAGGAATTTATTTATACACTCGGGGAGAATTAAGAGAATGTGCTAGCCCTGACAAGACGTAGACATATGCCAGGGTTCAAGGGCCGTCACCAAGAAGATGTTGATAGCTACATGGACATTTGGTACTATTTATATTGGAGGTTTTTTTTAATGAAAATATAATTTAGCCTTGAGAACATTTAATTCCCATTTAGTTTAATTTATTGACACACCGTTCCAGAGCCAAAATTGTATTCAGTTTGATCAGCAGAACATCTGCATAATGACTACCACTACAGAGTATACTTATAGTCCCAGAGAGTCTCCCTGTCATAATATATTTAAATCTAAAACACAATCGAAAGTATCAAGCTGGACACCCAAACCAGAATAACTTTAATCATTCATATTTATATATAAATTCTTGATAATCATGTGTAAATGTTTTGGTTATCAGTAAAGGTTTGTACATGTGAGAGGTACCCTTTGCCTGGTCTTTCTTTATTCTTAATACACAGATTTCCTCAGCTCTCTGACATCAGTTACACACAGCAAGCAACCCACAAAAAAATTCCAAATCAGACTGGTCCAAACAAACCCCACACAAATCTTAGCAGCATATTTTCCCTTTGTCTTCAAGGTGCTTTAAAGAAAAAAAAAAAGGGGGACCACAGCCACCCGGTTCCCCTATGCCTCATGCTTCCCATATGAGGACAATACTGGTTTATATAAGATATCTGGCTATACTCCTGTTCCCTTGCAAGTCAGGTAATACAAACCTTTTGCCCAATTTTTGTTAAAGGTTGTCCAATTTTCACCTTGAAGCAAAATATCGGTACATAAGCCTCTGACGAAGGCTACTATTCTTTGGCTCCTTGGTTGCACACTTTAGTAATACTGAACTTTTTCAACCTTAGTGTAAGTGAAGTCTCTGCTCTGAAACTAATATACTCAATGTAAAGACACATGGCAGCTTTCATTAGAGTTATCTGAGACAGGATATTTTTAATGTGACATAATCCCTTTAAACATATAAGACGATAACATTAAGACGTCATTAAGACGATAACAAAAGGTTTTGGGACGTTTAATTCTGTTACGTGTCTCGGCTAAGAGTGTAGTTATCTTTCTGGGAATTGTTGCTGATGTTGGGGTGCTAGGGAATAGAACATCTCTGCTGTACAGGTTTTATTTTGAAGCAAACCATTACATATCGTATTAATGTAATTTAAAACAAACCAGCTGAAATGTGCTGCCAAAGGACCCTAGCAAACACGTAACACAAAGTCACTTGAAGGTGACGGACCCTTTTTATATATTTGTAAATCACAACACCTAGTACAAAGTGTACAGTCTAGTTTATATATGTAAAAGCTGACATTAAGACTTTTTATATAGTTATCACCTGTTAATTTTTTTCTTGGGAGGGTTCTTGTGTGCAAAATGCTACATGATGGTCTTTCATCATAGATCTTTGCTTCATTTTAATGTTCTTGTGTTTATTGTACGTGGCAGAATTGACCATGGTCATCATGATGGCAATGCTAAGAATTCCTTGACAGAGGCTGTTGAGTTTGATAAAGCCATTCGCAAAGCTGGCCAGCTGACTTTAGAATCTGACACATTGACTGTTGTGACTGCTGACCATTCTCATGTCTTCACCTTTGGAGGGTACACAGATCGTGGTAACAGTATTTTTGGTAAGGCACTTAATTTAAACAGACCTTGCACTAAAATGTATGATCCACATATGTGGCTGCCCTTTTATGTAATGCAGCATTTTGACATCGGAGGGTGTTTGTGTGTGGCGGGGGGAGGGAGGGGGTGTCACATAAATGGACCTTTCATTTTAGTCTGCTTTAATGCAGCATATTTTGCTTTGTGTTTTTTTAATGCTTTCTGTATGCAGTATTATTTATGAGAGATGCTTGATTTCGGGTGCAAGTGTATTTTTTTAATTTCAGCTTCTCTGGTTTTAAATATATTACATGGCGTTATGGCCGTAAACAAAAGGTCTTGAAGACAGAAGGTTATGTTTTTATAGAGAGTGGCAAAAGAGTACTTGTTCCAGAACAGGAAAGGTTGGGGATATAATAAACAATGATAAAAGGAGTCTTAGTGGCCAGTAAATACAGCAGAGGTGTGCAAGGGTATGATAGCAGACAATATGTGCAGGGAAGGAGTATGAGGGTGTGACAATGGACAGTATGGGCAGGAGAGGAGTGCAGGAGGTATGAAAGAGAGTATTATGTAAAGAAGAGTGCGGTGGGTATGACAGCGGGCAGTATGTGCAAGAGAGGAGTTTGCAGGGTTATGGAAGCAGACTGCGTGTCTTGGCTCAGTGAACAGAACCGCCAGACTGTGTATCTGGGCTCAGTGTGCAATATCTATGAGCAGGACATGAACTTTGTTTAATATGCATTTTTTTGTGTTGGGAGGGTGTGACTGCATTATAAGAAGTCTCTGAAAAGTAAGCTGGAGATGTGTGTTCTGAAGGAAGTGTACAGAGTAAAGACTAACCTATGTGTGTGTGGGTATGTAGGAATCTCACTGGGGAAAGACCAGGAAGAGGCTGATTTGCCTGACACATGGTCAGGTCACCAACATAGAACTCCTGGACTGTGTATGTTTGAAGAAAAAAAAAAGTCAGGCACAGACAGTCTACTAATGGTATGAGCAAATATAGTTTTGCCAATAATGTATACCACTGTAAAATAAAAGAAACAAATATGAAAATTGCCAGTCCAGCCAGGCTGTGTCCTAAATTTGGTAGTGGATGACATTCGTGAGAGTTGACAGAGAGTTGCTACAGCATCCACGTCCCTTCATAATAAAAAATAAATAAAAAAAATAACAACTGGGTTAGCCAGGCTGTTTGGCATCATGTAGAGCCTCATAGTCGCATATACTGTACAAAAGACATGTGGCCACAAAAGTGTGAGAATCAGGAGGTCCAAACACTGGTGCAAACAGTGTTTATATCCTCACAGTTGCTGAGCACAGTTGCAGTTGCTGAGCATGGAGTCTTCCAGAACAATGGTCTTCCTCTTTTCTGTGGTCATTTGTTCTGGGTTATGATTAGTGGCAGGAGGCTCAAAGAATGTGAAGCCTAGAGAGGTGAGGAGACTTTGATCTGCAAGAAAATGGAAGCCTACAAGAAAGTGATCATTTGGTAGTTGGCTAGAGAAAATGACATACTCCCTTTATAACGTAAGAGCCAGTTCCTCTCCTGGACAGGTTTGAGAAATGACTGGCAACACGTAGATGGATCAGCTATGGCATTACCCACTGCCCTACTTACTAACTGATGTTAATGAGAAATCAGTCTGTGTGTGACAGGCCTTCATCTTCTGCAGAAAAAAGTGAAGCCCTTTGATAATGTATCATAACTGTAACAATATTTTATAGCAATGTATGTTGCTTTCATATACTGTATGTGATTTTATAAAAAGCATTTTGCGGTTATTTTTTTTTTCCTTTTTGAAATTATTCTTTTGATCCCTTGTCACCTCCCATATGTGATAATTGGTTGGTCCCTCTAAGTCATTTTTCTCCTTTTCACCATACTTTCCTGTTCATCCTGCCCTTATTTCTTTAGTTTGCAGAGGAAGAAAATGTTAGTATAATCCAATCAGGAGTAAACACTTTACTTTAAATCATAATCTGCAAAGAACCATTTCTTTAAAGCTTCATTATGCTTCATTTTTGGTAGGTTTGGCACCAAGCAGAGCCAGTGACCTCAAACCATTTACCAGCTTGCTGTATGGAAATGGTCTTGGATTCAAACTCACTAATGGAGTACGAGAAGATATCACTTCCATTGATACAGGTATGAATCACCTTATTGCTTACGATTAGATGAGATCCAGGCCTTTTTTTTAACCTGTTATCACTATTTCATGTCATAACTTTAGGTTTCTATTAAAAGATTTATGCTTTATCTTATTTTTCTAATTTTATACACATTAGAGCCAAGACAATACTTAGCAGTTTGGTGCACTGTGTACTTTTCTACTTTATTTTTAAAGAATGTTCATGATAGGACAAAATTATTGTAAGATTGAAAAAAAGGTAACATGTTCATTAACAGTGTTTCCGTGTGGACTACAAATCATGGTGTGAGCCTCAGATAATGGTGGTAACATTTATTTAACTAGAAAAGGATTTATACTTCTACTTAGTCGGTCCTGCTTTCTTTTAATAGCCTTTATAACTAAGAGACACAATACAGGCTGTAGATGTTACTCTGAAAATTGCGAAATTAGATATCAGAACCAACCGAAAATGAATGCTACAACATGAGTTTTGAATTAGGTTTATTTGTATGTATTTCTAAACACAATTGAAAAAAGCAACAGCAAAGTATTTGGATGGCAGAAATATTTGCATTTTATCTAATTTGATGGTAACTTTTTGGGATGGTTACAAGTAGAGGTGCACCAAAATGGAAATCTCAAAACCGAAACAAAAACCGAAATAAAAAAATTGTCAGGCCGAAACCAAAAAGGTTTCTTATTTTAATTTTTTCTAATTTTTTAAATATTTTATTTATTTTTTAACCTCAGAGACACAAGTCCTCAGTGACACAGAGTCCTCAGAGACACAGAGACACAGAGTCCTCAATCTCTTTTTCTGCAGCCCCAGTTATCAATGAACAGGAATCCTCTATGAGTGTTCCTGTTCATTCATACCATTGAGGATATGGTATGTTTACTATAACTACAACTATGAATGAACAGGAGCTAATGCAGATCACTTCCCATTCATTCATAATTGAGGATATAGTAGCCATACCATGTCCTCAATTATGTATAAACACTCAGCGATCACTGATCACCGACTGCTTGTACCCGCTCTCCTCTCTGACACACAGGGGTTGATTTACTAACCTTATAAACACACCATGAACGTGTATACACCTCTGTAGTGTGTTCCCTCCCAGCATGATCTATGGGAGGAATCGAAACACCTTTGTAGTGTGTACACACCCAGCAGGTGTGTTGTGCAAAGCCCTGCAATGAATTGCAAGGTAATGTGGTGTAAATTAGCTCTATGTTATGTTGCTTGCGTTGATGAATGCAGGAATGTAAATGCATTAGCTAACCATTTTTGTCTAAACTGTGAAGCAGCATTATATATGCATCATGTGCATGATTTTTCCATATATGGCATTAGTAGAAATATGCTTTTAGAGACTTTTTGGTTGATAAATACGTTTTGCTGTGTGCGTGCGTGTGTTTAGGTTAGTAAATCACCCCCACTGTCACAGGAGGCTGAGCGAGCAGTGCAGGGAGGAGAGCTCAGCCTCCTGTGACAGCGCGGGCTGTCTCCGCGCACACACCGCTCTGCCAGATTGTGATAGGAGGCTGAGCGGTGTGGGAGGAGAGACGCCGGATACTCACAGCGCTCGGCCAGCTATCACACTTTCTCTCCTCCCCACTGTGACACAGAGCAGCACCCAGCGGGGAGGAAATAAAGCAGGGATGCGCCGATGTATCAACAGGAAAATGGCACTTTCGGCATTTAGCCAAAAGTGCCATTCTCGGCCGATATGTTTCGGCGGCCGATATATCGGTGCATCCCTAGTTACAAGATAGGAAGACCCTAGTTGTTACTTACACTGTATACATGTTACAAGTCATTATAATATCTCATTCAGCGGTGTACTAGCAGAGAATTCCCTAATATTACTGTACCATAGCTGTGTATGAATTCCCTAATATTACTGTACCATATCTGTGTATGATATTAGCGGAGTTGTATAGTCTTGGGAGTTTATTAAGTCAGTTCGATTAAACCAGGTTTACTAAACTACTGTTCTTGGTTTCTTTGGAAGCCTATGAAATCTTCCAACAATATAACATCAGTAATCCTAGTAAACCAATGGAGAATAGTAGGGGAGTTAGTTTTCTTTCAAAGAGCTAGGATACAGAACATTCAGAATATAGATCAAAAGGGGATGTTGTTATCTTTACATGGGCATGAGATTCTGATCTAGCAGATATGTATCCAGATTGTCCATTAATTTTACATCAGTCAGATGGAAGATGTTCTCCTTTACTTTATCCTAGAAGGGGAAAATCATTTGGCATAAAAATATGAGAAAAGGTGTAAGGATTTTGTTAAGGATAATTGGAACACTGTACAAATGAGAAAGCAGTAAATGTCTCAATTAATGACTGAACTAGGTTAATGCTAAATAGTGGCTGAAAGGTGACATAGGAAGCTGCAAAACTTAACTACGCAAAATGTGTGTCACTCACCTGGCTGTGCCTTGTGCGTGGTAGGGGGTATGAATCACATGAATGGCCAAGCAGAATATAAAAACATCCTCTTATTTAAAAGAGTAATTATATATATTTTTCAACTGTGTGCTTAGCTGTTTGAAATTGCGTTTTAATCTTTATATTGTCAGTACAGAATATAGTGACACTCTATTCTTATGTTGATGAAAGTTTTTCTGGTTCAATAATAATAAAGAGAGGTATTGAATTAGTTAGAATCTTCATCCATTGTTCTCAATTCCCTGGTTCGGAGGGTTCAGTTTTCTTTGAGATCAATGGCTTCTGGGTCTCCAAATACTAGAATTAAGACTGTTTTAAGAAATTGAGTGCTATGCATATGAAAGCTCATTCTGATAATATAGATATGTCATGATCAGTAATGGTGAAATGGTCATATTAATTTGGTTTTACTTTTGGAAACCATATACTGCATGTCCATAAAGTGACCATGACTGTGTCTCTTACACTTGTGGCCAAATTAAATGTGCAATAGATACGAATTCCAAGATGTCCATAGCCACAGCTTAGATTCTTCCATTCTGTCATCTGGAATTTGATTGTATAACACAGAATGTTCAAATGATTCACATATCAACATGCGTGTCTGAATTGTCTGTGGTCATTTAAAAGGGCCGTAAAGTACCATGTTTACATGATCTAAATCATTGTTTATAATACTTTTTCAACAGAATCCTCCAGTTACAGACAGCAAGCGGCTGTCCCACTTGTTTCAGAAACACATGGAGGAGAAGATGTGGCCATCATGGCTAAAGGCCCATTTGCTCATCTGTTCCATGGCATCCACGAGCAGAATTATATTGCCCACGTGATGGCATATGCAGCCTGTCTGGAGCCCTATACAGACTGCATACAGTTAAAGTCTGCCTCTCCCCATAACTAAACATGCTTTAGGTTGATGTATAACTGGTAGCTGTTTAAGTACACAAAACATTAATTTGCATTTTTGTCATGTCTTCAACTCAACTGCTTTGTTATAATGTTTAAGCATGTAATCATTGATATGAGTATATTTTGCAATCTGATGAAACAATAAAATACTTAATTCATTCAGAAGATACCAGTGTTGTACAGTGATATGGAGGGTTAATCACACATACAAGCACTATGTGAGTCTACTGCAGTGCTCTCTTAATACTTTTCAGATAAAACAAATATTCCACAAAGTACATGGCGAAGAAATCCATTATGAATTCTGACAAATGAAAATGTTTGACTATGGGTTCTTTTTATTTTGCATTCTCAATTGATTTTTTATTACATTTTCATAATTTATTGTTTTAAAAGAAGCTTTACCATATAACTACCAAACATACTGTATACATACGCTGCAATATTACTGAGATTCCTCTGTGGGGCAGAAGTGTACAATAAATGCACACGGCATTCCTCATGGCCACAAGCAAAGCATTCAGAGCGGGAAATAACAGATAAGGCGAAAGTTTACTACTTTTCAGTGAAAACAGTATAAAAAAAAAGTATAAATATAGCACTACTGGTAACCAGGCAGACATACGTTTAAGGAATATGACTCTTCAGCGACAAGAAAAATCTACATTACAAATGTCCCAGAACCACTTTCTTACCAATAAATGTACCAGGCGCTACCCTCAAGGTGCAGTTCCTGTCCTCTAGATCAGCGGTCGCCAATCTTTTTTGGACCAGGGCCAGGTTTTGTTTTGCGGACGGGGAGGGTGGGAGTTTGGGGGTGTTAGGGGTGGTGGGGTGTAGGTGTTAGGGGTGTTTGGGTGGCAGGAAGGGGGGTGTTGGTGTTAGGGGTGGCAGGGAAGGGGTGGTAGTAATTAGTGTGTGGCAGATAGCAAAAAACAGGGCTGACAGAGGGAGTCCAGGCTGCTGTATGTGTAATATGAAGGGAGGACATGTAGGAGATGGCTGCACACACTATAAGGATCATTACCTTATAACACGTCCCTGGCTCGGTGCAGAGTTGTCAGTCCATCCACTCGGCCATCACTCCCCACAAGGCCAAGCTCTGTCTCCTCACTGATACGGCCATGCTGCTCTATTTTCTGCACTGACAGACAACCGTGCTGCTCTGCTCTTCTCATTGATACGACCATGCTGCCCCGCTGTCTGCACTCATATGGCCGTGCTGGGAGAGATAATAAACATTTAAGGCACTTTCTAACACGTGGTTTTGCCCTAAGAGGATGCTGCTGTAACATCTGTCTTATCTTATCCCTGGTGTGCATGGTAAGGTGTGAGAATCACAGGATTGACTAAAATTAAACATTTCTCCAAAATGTACAACAATATATATACTATATACAC